TGGCACTGCGAAGAGATGTTGCATCTCTTTGCATTTTATTTCGCATATACCATGGAGAGTGCTCTGAGGAATTGTTCGGATTAATCCCAGCCGCCAAATTTCGTGAACGCACTACGCGGCAAACGTCCCGATACCACCCACACCATCTGGATGCTTGGCGGTCCACCACAGTACGTTTCAAAAGGAGTTTTCTTCCGCGTACAACCTCTCTGTGGAATAGTTTACCACCGGCGATTTTTCCGGACCGATACGACCTGGGGACCTTCAAGAAAAGAGCTTACTCCTTTCTAAAGGGCCGGCAACGCACCTGCAATTCCCCTGGTGTTGCGGTTGATCATGGACGGCGGTAGTCACTTAACATCAAGTGAGCCGCATGCTCGTTTGCCCCCCTCTTCTATAAAAAAGCTAGCTCTAATGTTTTAATTCTAATACTAATATTTATATATTTTTTTCTCTCTATTATATCTTTTTTTTCTATCTCTGTTATATCTTTGGGTAATGTATTAATGTATTTAAATTTAAATTTCCGCAAGCACATCGATTTACTTTGTGCTAGAGTTCGTAAATTAATATATATTTTTAAATATCCTCGTAACATCGCTGATTTCAAATTGATAAGACAGGTCTATTTAGCTTTGTGTCAATCCATACTCACTTATGGCATTACTTCCTGGGGTGGAGCTTCTAAAACAATATTGCTCCCATTAGAACGTGCTCAGAGAGCAGTTTTAAAGGTAGCCACTTTCCGCCCATTCATGTTTCCTACACATCAACTTTACTTGGCATATAGTGTACTAACTGTCCGTCAGTTGTTTATCCTGAACATCATATTAAAACAGCATACCGAACTTCCATTTAACTCAAAATCCATAGATAGGAGAAGAATGGACTTAGTTTGTGTTAACCCTCAAACCAAACACGCATTTGTGAACAAATTTTACATATTTTTAGGACCCTTTATATAACAAGCTCAACAAGTCACTAAAGGTATATAGTCTAAGTTATAAGAACTGTAATATATGTGTAAGGGAATTTCTAAATAAATTAAATTACGAAGACACAGAGAAGTTGTTAGAAATTCTAAAATAGTTTGTATTAATTGTAGGTAACAATTAAATTGTTATTTAGTTATTTTATTTATTATATAATATAGTTTAATTATTTAAATATCTAGTGTCCTACATTATTAAACCCATTGTGTAAGTGATGTCTGAAACACAGGCACTCAACCTAGTTCAGGCAGCTAGCTAATATTATAAACTTGACTTTTTATTTTTCTTTTGTATATTCTACATTATTAAGCTACACATAGTTTTAATTTTATCATAGTATGTTAGTTTTGTTAGACTTATTGTTACTTTATTTAATTGTAATCATATTTATTCCTGTATGTAAACATGTGTAATTGGAAATGAAATAAATATTTATTATTATTATTTATTATACAGTTTAACTGCCATGAAATATAGTCCAGAACATACATAAAGTGGTTTTAGGCAATATTAATTTATTTCTCTTCCTAAGTTGTATATTATGTCCATTAATATTGTTACGAGCTTGAGGTTCGTGACAATAAAAATTGCCGATAGAATTACCTAAATTAACACTTTAATTTTCTTTACACAAATTAAAACACCAATAATTAATCACACTGATTCACTTTATTCCGCTCCGAAGCTTCGCTTGTCTCGCCAAATTCAATACTTCCCCGATCGCGTATTGCAGCGCCTTTATATAGAGCTCTTCCACGAAAACATCTAGAATATTCCAGAATATTCAAGTAAATACGCGCGCCAACCGACCAAGCGCAGAAAATTCGAGTCTGAGCTTCTAGAAGCTTAGTTCTTCGTTTCGACAACAGATGGCGCTGTCGTTTGAAAGATTAGTGATGTCATTTTCTGGAAAGCTCTCTCCTCTCTCTGTTACCCGACACTAGATGGCGCTAGTGCCAGATGTCAACTTAGCCGCGCAACAATATTATTATCACCAGCTTTTTGAAATATATCTACATATTTTCTTACTAATTTAGATGATTCTAACATGTATAAAGATGTAACTGTTAATAATCTTCTGTTATATGAAATATGGTCTACAGCTTTCCCTAGAGTCAATGTTTACTAGAACTCTCATAAATTTTTTTTAACGATAATATATATAAATAATTTTGGATGTCTGGGCAGATTACCCCCAAAGATATACGGTTAACGCTTGCCATGCAAAGGGCGTTACTCTTAAATGTTGCTAACGCTGCGACAATCATGAGGTGAGTTCCACTAACAACAAAGAGCCCTTTTCCTCTACAACTTATTCACACAACATATATACGATACAGCTATTTGGCAAAGGTTTTCTGTAAGGTGATGGCAACCAATTATTGTATCTCAAGAACCATTCTTCAGCTTGAGTTGCTCAAATTCAATCAGGAATCTAGCTGTGTCATACCCATTATCTTGCTTGTGTTTCTTTCATGCTTGAAAATGTTGGGCACAATTTATGTCTATCGAACTTAGTGTTTAATTTGTATTTCATCAATGTTATTTTTATATCTATGGCCATCTCATGAAATAAATTACTTACATATGGCATCCATGAATGAAATTTGTAAAGTTTGCTCGGACAATGCTCAAGATTTGAGCTTACATTTGAGCGTAGTACCAGAAGGACTACAAGAAAGACAGAAGTTGTCTTTTATTGTGTTGTACAATATAAGAATTTCCGCTTTTATGCAATATATACACCAGAGGTATCCCGAGAGAGAATAGATGGTTTAAAACAAAAACAAACATGATAGGGCAGGACACAATCAGAAATTATTGCTGTAACTGCATTGTAGATTTAAGAACAGTGGCATGCTACTCACATGTTATTGGTATTATTTGGTACCTACGCCATGCTCACCATGTGGGTATTACCCGGCCTGCCCCCTTCTTAGATGAAGTTTTATAATGAATTCATTAATTATAAGTACAATAAAATAAATGAACTTAAAAAACGAAATATTTTTTATTTACCTACACTCAAAACCACATCAAAACTTCATCATTATCAAATTGTTGCAGTCCCCTGCTGAATATAGGTATCTCCTAATTCACAATGCTGAGTAGATACCGATCCTCATTTCAATCTACCTACTTAATGGTAGAACCACACTGTAACTATAATATAGTTGTAGCAGGAATGACTACTCGACCGGGGACCACGCTCTCACAGAATACCAGTGTAAAATAGCAGCTTAATACTGCTGTGTTTTGTATGGTGAGTGTAGAGATCTGGAGACCCTTTTTTACTGGAAACGAGGCATTCGATACTAGTCCTCAAAGATGACAATGCATCTTAATTTTGATTCTCAATTGAGGATAAATGTAGATTTCTATGGGCCAGAGCATCCACTAACCATCAGGTGGACTGTCTGTCCAATTGTCACCACTACAGAGTAGCGAAAAGCAATATAGAATACAATTTTACAAAAACAATGTTTATTTGCATATATGTAACGATCTACATAGGTACACTAAGAGAGGTTTTGGCCGTCGACGGATTGTTGCTCCTGTTTTATTGCCTGAATAATGGTTTGAAGTAGATTTTGATTTGTAAAAGTGATTCGATTTTGTGAATTGTCTGTGCGTGTGAACTATTAGAGAAAACAATGAAACAAATGGTTTGATGTCAGATGACATCAGCATCATCATTCATCACAATGAAAAAAATATATAAAAATGAAGATTACGAAAGAAATGTTAGGTTCAGAAGGGCTAGAACCCAAAGCCGTAAAACCAGTTAAATAAAAAAACTGGAACACTAGTACATAATATTATATATTAGTCTATGGTCTATGTAGATAATCTTAAAAATTAAAACTGGTTATAAGTTTTATGTCACAAGTTCTAAAAATCTAAGAATTTAAAAGGGGTTTGTCTATCCTAGTAACTACCAATTAAAACCAAAAATATCCCAAAACATGAAATTTTATTAGAGGTACGAAACTCCCATACAAGCCTGCCATTCGCCTTTATGATCGATCATACCTTTGTCTAATCCACACTCACAAATTGAGCTATCTTTAATCTTAAGTTTTGGCATGTGGTGGAGTGTGACATTTTGTCGCATAGATATAGAAAAAATCTTATGACTTCTGATAAACATAGTTTAAGCATAACATCATAACATTGCAACACCCAGAATCATAGTGATCATGAGATCACAGGTATAGGTAAAAATGACATCATTCATATTTATTAGTTTTTTATTTCAAATTCAAATATTTATATGTGATAGAACAACCCTGCAACTTTATTTATTGTAGCACAAATAGGTCAGTTCGACCAGTGGGACGGATTCACTGGTGGTGTAAAATCAAAGCACCTCAAAGCTACTGTGTTTCATATGAGTAATGTAGAGAACCAGAGGCTCTTCATACTGGAAACGAGGCATTCCATCTTTATAATATAAGGATAAATAATGTCTATGGGCCACAGCATTCAGTTACCATCAGATGAACTGTGAGCCTCATTTATCACCCTAATTCTATTAAAAAAAAGTGCCATGAATCTACTTTGCAAAAACTAGTGTAAGACTATCCACTACAATGAAACAATAAAAATGCCAACAACCTATAGTAACTATAGCAAAAGTTTCCCTATCTGACAATCTATAGGGGATTGGATCTATGTTCAGCAGGGGACTTTTATAGGCTGTAATAGATGATATGCTACGCATAATTTAATATGCTTTGTATGTTTGTAAACAATACATAAACAAACACATGAAAATAGAATTTCTGTTCCCATTAATGTTTACTAACCATAACATTTATGTACAAAACCATTAAATGACCAATAAAAATCAATATACTGCATCAACTTTCACGGTCACTAGAAACATCCGGAGACTAAGGGCGGGTTATTTCCCCCATACAAAAATATACAATCATTGAAGATGACTCATTTCAAAATCGAGTAATAAACATAACAACGTTTACTAGACATGGAAAACCCAAATACCTTTATTCTTACCCATTGCAGTGACGTTGTAGTCGGCTTGCGTGAAGTGGAGACTGCACACTTTGGAGTATTTTGTGTAGGGTTTGCCGCGTTTAAGAATAATGTTCCATTTGTCGGCCATTGTAACATCACGCGGGAATCGATGAAACTTAACATTCTTGGTCTTGCCGGCTAGCGACGTACATTGTGGTACAGTGCAATAGTAACCCATCACGAATTCGCTACAACCTTTGTTGTCAAGTCAATTTTTTTGCGGTATTAACTCCCACTTGCGTGCAAACTTCATAACATTAAAAAAAATAACGATCCCGTCCGAGGTGTCCTCAAAATTTATTATATGTTATGATCGATAACACTTCAGTAAAATTAAATTAGATTCATCACACCACAGCCTTGAAATTTTTGACATTTAACATGTATTCACCTTTTTTTCTCTTCCCTACTTTTTCTTTTTCAGAATAATGGCTACTTAATTCCATAAACAATAACATACAGATAATAAAATTATATTAAAAGTTTAACACAGACATACAATATACTCCTAGTATTTTTAAATATCTGTGAATTTTAAGTAAGTAAGCTCCAATATTGTTTCTTAAAACAGACTGGATTTATCCAGTCAAATGGTATGATAAATGTAATTTGAAGCCACTTATCATGATTTATAGCACAACAAAATTATATCCGTCTTATTCTCACATGTCATAATTTTCAAATATAAAAAAGGTAAGTACATAATATTATCTTTGACTTCAATTTTCTGTTGACAGTTTTCATTATGTCACCAAGCTGCACTTCGTGGAGGTTAGAGAACAGGAGAACGATCGCTACGTACTAAAGCGTAGCCCGCCTGTCCTTGAACATTTGTAGAAATTATAGCGGCGCTACCGTTGGTGAATAGTGGCTGCGAAGTTAGCTTTTTATGAGTACAAGTAGATGAAGTTAGTTGAATAATATACAAATTTTCTTCGCGGCATTGGTGAGAAAATTTTCATGCTCCGTAATTTTTTATTTTTGACAAAAGAAATAAAACACTGGAGAAATATTTTATTGAGCGTCGATGTGCAAGTGGTTTAGCATCTGATCGGAAAAATAGACTGAAAATGACTTTTATTGAGCGAACTTAGTGATCTCGCCTTCGATTAGCGCCTCACTTATGGTGTCCATATTTCTGAGACACAATTTTCTACGGCGATCGTTCTCCTGTTCTCTATCCTCCATACTCCACCTTGAAACATAACGCCATTTTAGGGTGACGTCCATTTGTGGTAGTTCGTCTGTCATCAAAGAGTATAGTAAATATCACAGAGTACATTGTATATATAAGGATTAACTATATAAGTAAATCTGTCATCTGATCGTTGTTCGGAGTTAATTTTAAGTGTTACAGTGAATTTTGGCTATCCCTAACGTGAGAAGAACGATAATCCTGCCGCTGCTGGGCGGTGCCGTTAGCAGCACTACCCCCTCGAGATCTATCACCTTCCCTTTCTACAGTTCGCTTAGGGCAGCTGGATCGAAGATGGCCCATTTCCCCACAGCCATAGCACCTAGGGCTGTATCCTTTATTGCGGTCGCAAACTGTAGCTGCACCACCTCCCTGACGTGGTGGAAATGAAGATCCTGCCGTACGGATTCCACGCGTCGTAAGCGTCTTGTGGTGCCCGAGCCTCACAGCAGCTCTGACTTCAAGGTCACGGATGCTGTCTATTAATGTCTGCACCAAGTTCCCTTCAATAAGCGCAGGTAGAGACTTGTATGCTTTTCGAACCATCTTCTCCACTTCAAGGGCCCACTGCTGCAGGTTTTCGTTACTGCGTTACACGCGATCGTTAAGCTGCGCACGAAAGACGTGTTCATTGCACCACCAAATCGTCTCTGGTCCATCTCCTGCTGGCGTTGACTTCGGGTATGGACACCCTCTATTTCGTCCTTAGGTAAAATCGGCATGATTTTATCCCACTTCTGACATCAATTGTTACGAGCTTAGGGTTCGTGACAGTAAAAACTGCCGAATGAATTATCAAAATTGACACTTTAATTACTGAACACCAATTAAAACTTAAATCACACTAATAATTAATCACACTTAACAATTTAGTTCACTTTATTTCACTTCGAAAGCTTCACTCGTATCGCCGATGGCGGGCTTCAACGCCTTTATATACGCCTTTTTCACCGATACATCCAGTATATTCCAGCAAATACCGGCCCCCGATCGACCAGGTGCAGAAAGTTCGGGTGTGGAGCTTTCCAAAAAGCGTAGTTCTTCTATTCGATATTAGACTCTCACTCACTGTTGGTTGAAAGTTCAGTCATGGCATTTTCTGGAAAGCTCTCCTCGCTCGGCTTCCCGACACTAGATGGCGCTAGTGCCAGGTACCAGACATCAACTTAGGTGCACAACAATACCTTAGATATAAGTACGTTAGTACTCTTATTAGTTTTTGGATATAAGAAAAATAGTCTCACTATCTATGATTTATACAGTGTTGCCTTACATGCCGTCGTGTTTTGAAATTATCAATATAAAGTTTTACAATAATATTGATATAGTCCTATGATCAAATAACGTTTTAGATACCTACGAGAACTGTATATTTATTGAAACGAAAAAACGATCGATGAGAGCCTTTCTTTGCCCTTGTTCCGTCGAATAGAGTGCAAGCTGAAAGTCGCTTGTTCAATATCGATAAGTAGCTCGATAAAAATGCAGGTGGTTACGCCGAAGAGGCTAATCATGGTTTCATTTTCACGTTTCGTAGGTTTACGCTCGCACGAGATTAAAATTCGGTTTATATTCAGCGTAGCGACTAAGACCAATAAACGGTGTGATGATAATGTGTTATCAATTATTCAATTCCGCAAAGGAAATTGAAATGAAATTGGAAATTCGTTCAAATATTAAATGATTAAAGGAAATTTTATTAGGAATAATTAAAATAATTCGAAATATTGTTTTGTTTGTTCGATTTACTTCAGTGAATTTATCACCAGACTAGATGTCGCTCAACGACATGTTTGTGTCGAATTGGTTTAGTTAATGTGGTACTAAATGTCACTCATCGATTTAAAAACGCGTTATGGTTTGAACATTACATAGACCTACAATATTTAGTTGAATTTAATAAAATATGCATCATACGGAGTAACGGTTGTTTGATTTCGTAAGTAATTGGTGTTATGAAGTTCCTATCTAGTTCCAGCACTTAGATGAATAAAGAGTTGGCCTTACGAGGCGGATATATTAGAGTGGTGCAGTGCAGTGCAGTGTAGTGTGAGTGAGCAAAAGACCGTAAGTACAAAGGGATAGTTATAGTGAGTATTATGAACTTTATTACTTCGGACAATTTAACTTTGTAATATTGCATGGATTCCTTACACATGTAAAAATTTTACGTTAGCTTCATTGACTTAGAATAATTTCGCTGTTAGCTACGGAACATTGTGCCCAATTGTTGGGCCTTCGTAAATCTTATGTGAAGGGAGTTGTTACAGGCTTGGGTGGAGGGAAATCACATTATATTCAACACGAGGTACAGTTTAAAATACAGTCCACTATTTGCACGACATTTGAGTGTGAAGTGCGAGCTTATGTGCTGAACCAACTATCGTCAAATTGCCGTAAAATGAGATTCACAACTGGTCAGAATTAAGGCTATCAAAATTAAGGCTAGCTGATCCAGAATTCGGTACACCTAATAAGATTGATATCTTACTCGGTGCCGATATTTATGCGCAGATTTTGACAAACGGATTGGTTAAAAATCCATCTGGTGCATTAACAGCACAGAATACGGAGCTTGGATGGATCCTTTCGGGTCGAGTACAGTTGGATGAGGAATACCCCAGCAACATCATAAGTTTGCATATAGATGATTCGTTGAATCAATTGATTCGGAGCTTTTGGGAGATAGATAATGAACAGCCTCACAAAATTTTATCTGAAGAAGATAAAAAATGTGAGAGTTTATACGATGCCACTACAACTAGAACTCCAGATGGTCGGTATATTGTTCGACTACCCTTTAGGGTAGAAGATCCTCAATGCCAATATGGGGCTTTAAGAGACATTGCGATGCGAAGATTCAATCTTCTAGAGAGTAGGTTGAATAAAAATCCACTCTTAAAGGAAGAATACTCAAGGACAATGAGTGATTATATAAATCAGGGTCATATGAAGGTTGTTGAATCAAAAGAGTTAGCTCAAACAAATTGTGTTTATTTGCCTCACCATGCGGTGATACGTGGAGATAAAACGACGACCAAGGTCCGAATAGTTTTTGATGCCTCCTGCAAGGGGAAAAACGGCAGGTCTTTAAATGATGACTTGTTGGTCTGGCCGAGGTTGCAGCCTGAGTTACGTCATATTTTATTAAGATGGCGTGCTCATCCTGTATGCTTTGTTGCTGACATCGTCCAAATGTATCGGCAGGTAAAGTTGCACGAGAAAGGCGCTAGTAAATATCAACGTCTTTTGGTGTTTCTTCGGCACCATATTTAGCAGTGAAGAGCCTCCAATAGGTGGCTAAGGATGAAGGCCAGAATTATGAGCTGGCAGCATGTAGAGTTCTGAATGACTTTTACATGGATGACTTCATGTCAGGATGTGAGAATGAGTCGCAAGCTGTGGAGATCTACAAAAAAGTGTCGGAATTACTGGCTAAGGGTGGATTTAGCTTACAGAAGTGGGCCTCCAATAGCAGTAAGCTGATGGAGATGGTTCAGGATAAAGGAAAGGAAAAGAAATTAAATACTAAGTTAGATGACATTGTAAAGATTCTTGGGTTATGTTGGGATGTTACTTTGGATGCCTTTAGGTACAAGGTAAATTTACCAGAAAGAAGAAGCAGAGGGTGACGAAGAGAACTATCTTGTCAGACATTGCTCGACTCTTCGACCTTCTTGGGTGGACTGCGCCAGTTATCATCAGAGCTAAGATCTACACGCAGAAGCTTTGGCTTGCCGGTGTTTCGTGGGATGAAGAGATAACAGGCGATTTTCTACAAGAATGGATTACTTTTAGACAAGATTTACCTTTTCTCAATCACGTCATTATATCTCGCTGGACTCACATGAGTGAAAGTGTGGCTGATGTGTCAATACATGGGTTTTGTGATG